GCCATGAAGCGTGTCCTGCGCTATCTTTGTGGCACCTCCACCCATGGCATCCACCTGGCACGATCCTCCACCGACTCCCTGCAGGCATACTCCGATGCTGACTGGGCCGGTTGCCCAGACACCCGACGTTCCACCTCTGGATACTGTGTTTTTCTCGGTGACAATCTAGTCTCCTGGTCCTCCAAGCGCCAGGCTACCACTTCTCGTTCTAGCGCCGAAGCCGAGTATCGCGCCGTGGCCAACGCCGTAGCAGAGACGAGTTGGATCCGGAATCTTCTTCTTGAGCTGCAGCAACCCCTTCGACGTGCCACCCTTGTTTTTTGCGACAACGTCAGTGCTGTGTATCTCTCAACAAATCCTGTGCAGCACCAGCGCACCAAGCACGTGGAAGTTGATATTCACTTTGTCCGTGACAAAGTAGCACTAGGCCATGTACGCGTTCTCCACGTTCCCTCGTCTTCGCAGTATGCTGATATCTTCACTAAGGGACTCCCTTCTTTATTATTTCTGGACTTCAGACAAAGCTTGGGAATCAGACCTCCTCCACATCCGACGTAGCCGGGAGCATGTTAAATATATTGTATATATTTAATATATTGTATTATTCCCTTACCTTATTTGTATAAGTTTCCTTGTGTCTTTCCTACCTTGATTAGGATTGAGACTCCCCTTATATATATACATGTAATCACAACTCTTTCAATTAATGAAAATCATAATTCTTCAGTTAAGACTATTTTCATATGTTTGTCTATGTATCAATATACAACAATATTGGTCCAATATATATGACTGTACAAAGCGCGCTACCACTACCAATTACAATTCTACGTTAAATAAATAACCATTTAATTATAGCGATAAAATCCCCTAAATATGCTCCATCCGTGGGTGTATGGCTCTCCATAACCGTCCATAAATCATGGCACAATAATAGCCATATTAAAGGAAACATTGTTACTCCCTCCGTCCCGTGAAACATTTCCCTTTTCTTTTTTTATCCGTCCCACAAAACACTTCTCATTTCTATTAAAAGGTCACTATTACCCCTTACTTTTTCATACCCTAACTATCATATCATACCTTTTTACTAATAATCTATCCATCAAATCATACTTTTACCCATCACATCAAAGGATATTTTTGGAAATTCAATACCAAAATACACTCCCTTAAATCCCTCCTAAAAAGTAAATGTCCCATGTTTCACGGGACGGAGGGAGTATTACATTATTTCCTTAACAGGTACTTTAAGAACACGAGTATGCCAAGGAAAAAAAGAAGAGAGTTTATAACACAGCCCGTGCAGTGCTTGAAATAATTAAACATATATAACAAAACCATGGGATAATATGCAGTGTTTGTCACTTCGTCCATTTAATTTATAGGTAGAAATCAAGATATAGGGTGGAATAGCTAGTAGAGTGTATTTATGTGGCTCATGCAAGCTTGCTCAGTTCTTGAAGAGTTCCAAGCAGTGTTGTGTATCAAGAGACTCGCTCCAGAACTTCCGGTAGTACTCCGGATACGTGAAGCTCCGGTACACCGGTGATGAACCATTGCCGGTGAGCGGTTCCGGGGCACTAATGACGGCTTCTTCGCCCGGGCAGAGGAAAGAAGCCACAGAGACTCTTGGTTTATCTGTGTTCACTATAGCTCTATGCCACACACTCTTGTACTTCCCATTGCTCAGTGCCTGCATGTTAAAAACATCTTAATTATAAGTTAGGCTACCCTACCAACACGACTTAAGGTCACAAAAAAGATTATTCATGCATGGAAAAGTGGCCTTAAACGAATTACTACACACCTAATATTTGAAAATGAAGTTAACTCAACTAGAAGGTGAACCAGTTAGCTATATACTCCCTCCGTCCTTAAATAAACTTCCATTTTTGACCTTTTGATGATTTAAAAGAGGTGTATTTTTGTGTTGACTTTCCAAAAATACCCTTGATGTGATGTATAAAAGTAAGATGTGATAGGTAGATTATTAGTAAAAATGTATGATGTGATAGGTAGGGTATGAAAAAGTAAGGGGTAAAAGAGGTTTTTTAAAGGAAAATAGAAGTTTATTTGGGGACAAAGAAAAAACGAAACGGAGGGAGTATATTATCGGCTCAACAGTAGCCGAATGGTTAGGTTAGTACCTGTAGTTGATCGCCGATGTTGACAACGAAGGCACCCGGGTAGGGCTTGACGGCCAGCCACTTCCCATCCTTGAGGACCTGAAGTCCGACGACTTGAGAGTCTTGGAGAAGAATGGTGAGGGTGTTCGGGTCGGTGTGAGCGGGTAACCCGTAGGTCAGTTCGGGTTCGGGGCACGGCGGGTAGTAGTTGATCGCCATATGTTGACCTTGTTCGCCCAACATGTTCTTGATGCATTTTGGGTCCAGGCCTAAACTCTCAGATATGGCCTCCTCTATTTTCAACCCCACTTGTCGGACTTCCGTTACATACTTCTTCACAACCTCCCTTTGTATATAAACAAAACAACAATATATACTTTTTTCTAAACTTTAATTGGAAAATAATTTTCTAAAATTTTACAATTATTTGAAAATGCTTTTGGAGAGGACACCATTGTGTGTAAGTTATTTTTAATTTGAACATTAATCATTTTTCTAATTTGATCTAATTGTTTTTAATCTGATTCAGCATGGTGTCATCTGATAAGAGAAACCTCACTAAAATAATGAATCTAATTTATTACCTTGCCTATTTTAGTTCAAAAATCTTTTTAATAAACTTTAGATTTTATTTTTTGGTGATTCAAAAATAAATTTTGTATTGCACCTTAGTACACACTAAAATTAAATTCTGAAAATTTTTTTACAAGATAAATTTAATATTATAAAATTAAATTTATGTATATAATCTAGCTAGCCAACCGGGAAGTGAAAAGTGGAGTGTATATTAATAATATCCGTAATATGTACTTTGTGTCCTTATTTAAGTTGTATGTTTAATATTCATAAGTTCAAACTTTATTCACTTTCTCTACCCATTTTTGCTACCCATTTGATAAAATTTTGTAATCATGTCACATCGTCTTGTTTCGTAAAACTTTTGATGTACTCCCTCCGTTCCAAAAAATGCGATCCTTTCCCTTTCTTTTTTACTTGTCCCATAAAATCCTTCTCATTTCTATTAAATAATCAATTTTACCACTATTAATTCTAAACCTACCCCTATCACATCATACCTTTTTATTAATAATCTACACATTACACCCTATTTTTATTCTACTTTTACTCATCATATCTAGGGTATTTTTGGAAAGTTAACACAGAAATGTTTCTCCCTTAAATTTTCTAAAAGTCAAAATGGAAATATCTTTTTAGAAGGGAAGAAGTAATAGTTTTTAAATATGGAGTATTTAAATTTTATTTTTTTAATTCTTGCACAAATTTTCTAATAAAATGAATTGAAAATAATTTTGACAAAATCTCGTAAACAACAATGAGTGATTTTAATTGGGACATAGAGAATATAATATAGTATACCTGAAAGAAGAGGGGTTAGAAGGCCATTGAGGGGCATATTTGTCAAGGGGAAAACAGTGAAGCCTGAGATAGTCTCTCCAGTTGTGAACAGTCTCTTTTTGTATATTGAAGCTGGTGGAAAGCCTCATGGTCTTGGTGGGGTCGTCGGAGTAAAGCTTCATCTTCTCTTCCACCGCCATATTGAAGAACTCGTGCGATACCTCTAACATTTCTTCCACCACTCTTCTCGGAACTCCGTGGTTTATCACCTGTATTATATTTTTCCCATGGATCCACACCGAGTGTTAATAATTGAAGAATGAGTGAATGTATAGATATAATTTATGTCTATATTGATTCATTTTTAATGTATTACGAAATAGAATATTTTTAATAAATTCCTTTCTTTGTTTCTCTATTTTCTTATTGTATTTATTCGTTTTCTTATTTCAATTGGACCTCTCTCATTTAATCCCAATAAATAGGGATGTATCATTGAATATTCAATAAGATCATTTATTATCAAATTGTATCATCGTATTAGAGCAAAGGTCTCCCAAATCCTAATTCATTTTTTTGACCGTGCTTTACCGTCGGTTCCTCCATAGCCGACAGTTGACCACCGGTCTTCATGGCATCGTCGTCCGATCCTTTTGCTGCTCTACCTTCTAGAGTAAAGCTTTTACTTCGCAGTCTCCATAATTTGATTCTTGAAAAACACCCAGGTGCGAACTATCCTGCGTGGTCGCTAAATGTTAAAACCGCGCTTAAAGCAAATCTTCTTCTTAATCGGATTGATGGATCCAAGAAAGTTCCATCTAAAAATATTCTCAAAGATGGAGTTGTTATTCCCAATCTTGATTTTGCCTCTTGGACAATCGTTGATACTCAGATTTAGGCCTGTCTTCTCGCCGTTATCTGTCCTACTGTCCATAAGCATGTTCGTGGCTTCATTACTTCTGTCGCATCGTGAGAAGCATTAGTAACGAGGTATAATTCAGTTTCCACTACTCATATTTATCAACTTCGCGATAAGCTACATACTCTTTGGAAAGGTACCAAATATATGTCTGAATACATTGATGAAGTCGTAACAATCCTTGCTGATCTTGATGCTTTACGTGAACATATTCCTCAATGAGATGTTGTCAATGTTGTTATCCGTGGTCTCTTTATTGAATAATCTTCATTCAAACAAAATATCTGTCTGTAAAATAGGAACATCACTCTCAATCAACTTTCTGGATGGCTTACTTCAGAGGAAATTAATATTCAGATGGAGCAAAAACTGAATCTAGTTGATTCTTCCTCTAGAGGACCGCATAATGCCCTGCTTGCTTTAGACAGTCGAGGTCGCGGTTGAGGAGGCTACCATGGTCAACAATCCACTTGTCGCGGATACATCAGCTCTTGTGGCTGTAGACACAACGAACGGCCGCTCTCCAGAAACGTTTGATCGTCACGGGATCTTCCTACATGTCAGATTTGACAAATACGGACATACGCCCATAGCATGCTAGTATCGTTTTGATGACTCTTATACTACGAGCTCGTCTACCAGTGCACCTCGTGCGACGAATGCATCTACAAACAATCAATTTGGGGATTGGTATCTGGATACTGGTGCCAACACTCGTGTTACGTCTGATTATTCACAGCTTCAATCTCCTCATCCATATACTAGTACTGACATTCTTACTGTAGGTAATGGTCAATCCTTACCCATCACATACACCGGCTCGAGCTTTGTCCATACATCAAATGGTAAATACCAACTGTTCTCCCTTCATTTTGTCCCCACCATTACATCAATGTGTTATTTGTCCATCGTTTTACCAAAGATAACAATTGCACCCTTGTTTTTATTGCAAATGAATTTTAGATGGTGGACAACACTACCTACCAAGTGCGGTACAAAGGCCTCTATGAGCATGGTCTATATACCCTTCCTTCAAAACCATCATCCGTTGTGTGTCAAGCTATTTAAGCGTCTCCCTGGCATTGTAGACTTAGTCATCCGGCTCCTGCAATCGCCAAATCCATAAGTTTTGAATTTTCAACATTGTTACATTGTGAATTATGTTTTGTCCCTAAGTCATATTGTCTACCTTTTGTGTTGTCTGAACACAAGGCCATGCAGGCGCCATTTCATTTAATACATTCTGATGTTTGGAGTCCAACCTCTGTTACTTCTCTTAGTGCTTTTCATTATTATATCTCTTTTATTGATGATTTTAGCAAATATGCTCATAGATTTATAAGAAGCCTACTCTATTTTTGTTAGTTTTGAAAACATGATTAAAACTCAATTCAATTCTAACATTAAAATTTTTCGAAGTGACAAGAGGAAAGCATTTGCGAACACTGCTTTTGGGCTATTTCTTCAATCTTTAGGAATTCCTCATCACACCTTTTATCCTTATACTCCCGAGTAGAATGGATTTGCTGAACGAAAACATTGTCATCTTATTGAAATAATTGTTTCTCTTCTTTACGACTATGCTCTTCCAACTACCTTCTGGTAAAGGCACTTGCCACCGCTAATTATCTAATTTGTCGTATGCCTACAAAAAATCTTTCTACCCAATCTCCCTTTGAGGTTCTCTATCATCATCCTCCTACATATACTCACCTTCGTCCTTTTGGTAATTATATAGTCTATCCATGGCTTAGGCCTCACACCAGCACAAATTTCAGCCCCGCTCTACTCCGCGTGACTTCCTGGGATATCATCCCACCATTAAAGGGTATACATATTATGATCCTATATCTCAAAAAATATATTACTCTCATTATGTTCGGTTTGTCGAGGATCAGTTTCTATATTCTAGGTTATCGTCTCTTTCGTCAAACTCTCATATTATCACAACGATTTTCCCACCAAGCCAAGGCTCACATGCTCAAGTACCACACACGAATATTGTGCCACAAATGGTGGAGCAACATGACCGTACCTCAAACCATGGTCGCCCATCCGAGCAACTTACTGTAGACACACTTCAGGTGGTCGGCCACCTGAACCGTACCCCTAACCACAGTCAACCGTCCCAACAACCTCTTTTAGACCGTAATCCTAACCACTGTCAACCACCCATCCCCTCCTCCTTTAAACCTCTACACCCGGTCCCCTCACTAGACCATCCCACAACCATGGTCGACCCTCCACCAGCCCAAAACAGTCATCCCATTCAAACGCATGCCAAATCTAGAATTTTCAAGCCAAAATCCTATATTATTACCACTCTAGTTAACAGTCTTCCTACCACTGAGCCTAGCACATACTACCAAGCCTCTGGAAAAAGTTTTTGGTGTCAGGCTATGGATGAGGAATGTTTTGCTTTGAATGTACAACATACAAAGGATTTGGTGCCACCGCCCAAGAATCTCACCCCAATTGCTTGCAAGTGGGTGTATCGCATTAAACAGAATGCTGATGGACCAGTTTCAAGGTATAAGGCTCTTCTTGTAGGCAAAAGTTATTATCAAGAGTATGATATTGATTGTAAGGAGACTTTCAGCCCTGTTGTTAAACAATAAATGGAACGCCTTGTTCTCTCCTTGGCTCTTAATTGTGATTGGCCTCTTTATCGGTTGGATGAGAGTAATGCCTTTCTTCATGGCACTGCGGACAAGGATATCTATATGGAGCAGCTACCAGGATACATATATCCCCAACGACCACGCTATGTTTGCAAGCCGTGGAAGTCCTTGTATGATCTCAAACAGGCACCACGTGTGTGGTACTCACGCTCATCCTCTTTTTTACAAGGCTTAGGATTTCGTTGTTGCATTCATGATACCAGTTTATTCACTCGTCACTATTTTCAAGGAACCGTCATTGTACTAGTCTATGTTGATGATACTGTCATTACTGGGAGCTCGTCTACCCTCATTTCTAAAGTTACTTAGGCCATGCACCGCGACTTTAAGTTGAAAGAACTTATTCCTCTACATTACTTCCTTGCCACTGAAGTCAGGCGCACCAAAGATTCCATGGTACTCCATCAGACAAAATATGCACATGACCTTCTACACCAGGCCGGGATGTCTGAATGTCATCCGGCCGTTACTCCCATGGCGGCTAGACCTGTCATCAAGCCGTCTATTCCTTTCAAGGATCCCTCTCACTTCCGGAGCATTTTTGGTGCTTTGCATTATTTAGCTGTTACTCGTCTGGATATCCCGTATGCTGTTAATCGGGTTTCTCAAACTATGCACAACCCGACCGAGTAGGATTATCACGCCTTGCAGCGTATCTTACGCTACCTCAAAGGTACTCTACACCTTGGTCTTCTTTTCCGAAAAGAGGGATTCGGTCTATTTGTTTACTCTAATTCTGATTGGGCGAATGATAAAGATGATTGAAAGTCTACCACTGGTTAAATCCTTTTGCTTGGTCCCAATCTCATTTATTGGTGTACGAAAAAGAAGACCTGTGTTTCTAGATCTTCCAATGAAGCTGAATATCGTGCTATGGCTGCAGGCGTGGCCGAAGCTATGTAACTGTGTTATATTACTGATGCGATGGGCATTCGAAACCTCATTTATATATACTGCGGCAATGAGTCAACTATTCGTGTCACCAAATATCCAGTTCTACATGATCGTATGAAGCATGTTGGTTCATACTGTCACTTTGTCACTTTGTACGAGATGAAGTAATGGCATGGACTATGACTACACATCACGTTCCTTCATCAGAGCAGCTAGCAGACATTCTCACGAAGCCGCTTCCACCATTTCTATTTTAGTACTTGTGCTCCAAGCTGCCCCTCGTCTCTACTGATCAGCTTGCCGAGGGATATTAGGGAATAGAATACTATTAATTAACTCCTTTCCTTATTTCTCTATTTTCCTTATTGTATTTATTCATTTTCCCACCTGGATTGAAACTCTCTCATGCAATCCCTATAAATAGGGATGCATCTCCAATATTTAATAAGTTCATGTGTTATCAAATTATATCATAATGTATCATGAGAGTGTTAATAGATGATTAATATAGAATGCCGGGAGTACTTAGATGAATGTCAAATCCCATGATTTTATCAAATAACTAACAAAAATGGGTAAAAAAGTGATAAAAATTGAAGACAAAGATCGCATTGAATACAGAGTATAAGATTTATATATCCACAATTTAAATTGGATATAGAGTATCATCATATATCATATCATATCATATCATATCATATATATTTATAAAGTTGAGCGGATTAATTGTGGTTACGACATGTGTCATGCCACGCCATTAGTTTATTGCCAAATA